GCTTAAGTATTCTCTGATATGAAGTAAAAGCTTAAGCGTTCGCAGATAGTTTAGAGTGAGAAAATTGCCTAAATGAATTTCCAGATAAGGATGAGATTGATCAATCCGCCGACAAACTGCGTGAACGAGGGATAAGGTCAATCCCTAGGGAATCCAGAGGCCTGAAACCAAGGAAGGCACCAGGTCGCGAGGCAGGTGAATGAGAAAAAGTCTCGAAAAGCTGTGATGACCGTACCTATCATGACCTTTTCCCTTTTGGGACTGGAACACTTTTAATGGAGTAGACATAATGAGTATGCTATTATTTCCTATCTCAGGCTTTTGAATTTTCTCTGTTTGGAGGCATTCCGAAGAAAACAATTCAAGAACCGGGAATAGACGAACATTTAAGACAGATAAATTTGAGAATTGGAATTGGAAAGCAGAAATTTAGGGAAAATTGAGTAGATAAATTGAACTTAAGTATCTCTTGAATTCACTGCAATTTCAGGATATTATATTGAATTTTGTTTGCTTAACAATGATTTCAGCTTTAAAATGTCTACTTTTAATTTATTTTGATTTTGGATTTTATTGTTCTCGCTGCAAGGAATACTGGAATCTTCACTGATATCAAGAAATATAGGACATGGTGATCGAGCACAAAAGATTTATATGTTAATTTATCTGTTTTTTTTTGTTCTTTGACAAAAATATGGTCCAAACAAGTACCAGTGTCAGGTCTAGTTATAGTATTTTTGTTTTTTTTTTTTTTTTACGGATATGCGCACTCGCAAGGAAATGTCCTATCACGCTCGAGAAGCGGCAAGTGCGCGTTTGTTATCTTCACACAGCTTCTAGTTGTGTTTACATTTGACCTCAGAGGCTTTATATCTCGGAAACAAATAGAAAATTGGCAACCCTGTGAACTTACCTTCAATGGATAATAAAATCTGCCATTTTTATTTTATTTACCAGGCCTCATACCTCCTGTTTCGGAAATAGCAATAGTGGTATCACTTAAACCAGACATACTTTTTCAATGGTTGATATGTATCATGAGGTTTATAGGTTGTTGTATTTTCTTTCAGTTTAGTAATACTCTTGTCATTAGTGTAGTACTTTCGCCTGGTCTGAGGCGAGTGCGCGGAAATGTCGGTGTATGTTGGTCTTGAAACGGTTCAGGTTGTAACCTGCAGGGAAAACCGTCGCAGGGAGTTTATTCCACAGCGATGCTGTTCTCCAGAGATATGAATTCTGATATAATGAGTTCGTTGGCGCAATTTTTGAGTACTATTGCGGGAATGCCATCCGGACCCATTGCTTTGTTTGTATCTAGCTTTTTAAGGGATTTTCGTATTTCTCTGTGACAAAAGGGTACCTCTGGCATACTATGGGAAACCCTTTCAATGAACGGTGGAGTTTTTTCGTTTGGCACTGTTAGGTTGGAGTTGGAGGAAAACATTTGGGCCAGCATATTGGCTTTTTCCTCTGATGTTGTGGCTAAGTGATTATTTTTATCTGTAAGTGGTGGTATGGATGACTTGGTGAAGTTAGATCCAACAGCTTTTGCAAGAGACCAAAAGGACCTAGAACTACTTGGACAATTCAGCAACCTGTTTTTTATTCTTTGGTTGTATGTTTCTTTAGCGGAGTCAATAGTAATTTTGCAACTATTTCTGGCTTCTATAAATTCTGTGTGGTTTTGAGCGGTTTGTTGTCGTTTCCAAAGGTTATATGCTCTGTGTTTTTTCTGTACAGCCGTTTGACACTGGCTGTTGAACCAAGGTTTTGCATTAGCTCTACGTTTAGTTGTATGTGGGATATATGCATCCATTCCAGATAAGATTACTTGTGTTATTTCATTACAGCAAATAGTGGGATCAGCTGTTTTAAAGCAAACCTCTTGCCATGGAAAATCCAGGTAAAACTGTTTTAGGTCATTCCATTTTGCCGATTTATAGTGCCACATTTTACGAGGAAGTGGTTGTTGGCTTGGTGGGATGAGCATTTCGCACTTTGTTATTATAAGTTTATGATCGGACGAACCAAGTGGAGCATCTACTTGAATTGTGTACGAGTCAGGATTTGTGGTTAGGAACAAGTCTAAAAGCGCTGTAAATTCGCCCCTTTCTGAGATACGGGTAGGTTCATTGACAAGCTGCGTTAGACCACAACTTATGGCAAAAGCTTCTGCTTCTCTGCCTTCGTTATCTGTTTTGTTGTGGTGTTTCAGCCAGGGTATATTGTGGACGTTGAAATCGCCTAAAAAGACAATTTCCGCCTGTGGATAGTTTGACTGTATACTATCACAGCTTTCGGATAATGTCGCGAAAAAGTTATGGTACTCGGTGTTAGATGGCGGTCGGTAGAGGCAGCAGATAAACATGGTCGATGACTTTGAGGTGAATTTTAGCCATATGATATCAAGGTTCGCTGGTTCTAGCTTATCCTCTCGATGACATGAAAGGTCATTTTTAATGTACACACAGATCCCAAAATTATGTCGAAATCGGTGGTGTAGGTCATAGCCGGGATAAAGATAGTTCACAATAGGTGTTGCAGAACTGATTTTAGTTTCAGTGAGAACAAGGATGTCAGGTCTTTGTTCTTCAAGATGTTGGTGGACTGAATTCATATTTGTACTTATTCCTCTTATATTGCTAAAATCAATTCTGAGTTGAGTTTTTGATCTTCTCTTTATACCTTTGCATGAACCCCCAGGATCACCCGACGCCCGGAGATCCGAGTGGTCGGGTATTTTACCTCCGGAATATTTTGATCCTGGAGGCGCCATCATGCTATCTGTTACTCATTGTTGGAACCGGACTGCCAGCGCAGTAGCGGAACGTGGTGATACCACTTAGCGCTACTCAATTCTGGCATGGTGGTATCTCACCGGTCGACGCCCAATGAGTAAAAAGCGTCTACCACCTATATATTATGTCTAACTGTTATTGATTTATTTAAATATTATACTCAAATACATAAACTAAAAGCCACTATATTCTTATAATGTATCTATATCTGTATCTTGGAAAATTACGACGCTTTTTCACAGAAATAGTGCACTTTCCGCTGTTTCAGACGAGAAGCGACCATCTAGGCCTGAAATGTATGAAATATAACCTTCATGGGCCATGCTTACAAGATACGCAAATGCATCATCACAATTTTTATCAAGAATATTTATGTTTGTGTCACCAATAAAGATTTAGATGTTCCTGTTTGCATTTGACTGTAGGCAATTCTGAATATCATTTATAAATATCTCTATTTTTGAAAACAGGTGTTACATAGGACTTCTTCCAGACAGAGGGGAAAATGCCTGTACGATGGGACAGATTAAAAATTTTACATAGTACAGACAACACATACTTACAATTTTGTAATAAAGTTACTGGGATCTCATCTAGACCAGCGCCCAAATTTTTATTCAAAGAGTAAATTTTATTAAAAACTTCAATGCAAGATATGCTTAAATCGTCCAGGTTAATAAATTTGTCACACTCAAAATTCCCATCAAAAGATCAGTCTCCCTACTGTGAATATACAGCGGAAAAATGATCCTTGAACATTTCAGCAATCACCTGTGGATCATCTGTTTCATGATTATTGAAGCACATAAATTTAGGATACCTATTCTAGATCTCCCTGTTTTGCATTAATAAATTTCCAAAATTATTTTTTATCATGTGGTTGGTTTTCAATAAAATGCGGCATTGTGATCTTAGGTCTGCAAATTTTAAGTAGTTTTCATTAGTTTTTGACATTTTATAAGTCTTATGCGCCATTTTCTTTTCAATTATTATAGTTTTTAATTCAGAATTCATCCATTTCGGAAATTTAGGTGAGTTAAATCTTGACAAGGAAGTAAATTGCTCAATGATCTCCTCCAATACATCATAAAACAATGAGCCACTACATTGACATCAGTACATTCAGAACCAATATTCCAGTCAACACATGATAAGTTAAAACTCAGTGGCGGACGTAGCCCCTCGGGGGCTCGACGCAAAAAAATTTTTGGGGCCCTGTCTCAGACTGTTTTTGAAGTTTTAAAGCCAAATATAAAAAAATTAATTGAACACAGGTTTATTAAGAACATATGAGACAATATTATGGAAACAAATTAAACAAAAAAAATGTTTGAAATGTTTCAAGTCACAGCCACTATTTCCCTTGGCGGGCGTTGCGTATTTCCAGCTAAATTGGTTGGTTCACTGACACCTCTTCCACTTAGGGCGGGTATTACAAAACTATTTTGACAGCATAACCAAATGTTAACTTCTGGAATGCCGTTACTCGTTACTTCTCAGTAATTCCAAGAGTTAACTTTCATTAATCTGTCAAAATAGTTTTATAATACCCGCCCCGCCCTTAGTATACACACAGGGCACCAAAAACAAAATCTGTACTGTCCGTACTCTACCGACAAGTGCCGTAAATTCTCTCTGGATCTCTTTCAAAATTCAATTTTCAGTTTTTTTTTTTTTTTTTGTATATTTAACTACGAGTATTTTTTTTTAAATTCATTTTTATCGATGCCTTTAGAATTTGGTTGTGTGGGGGCCCGACGCAAAGTGCGTCGTTTGCTTCATGTTAGATCCGCCAGTGTTAAAACTTATCAGCCAACTTAAAGTTAAGATAAAAATAGTCACATGAAGAAGCCATTTCCAATTTGCGGAATTTAAAACAACACTCGTACGCAGGATGTAGCATATCCAGTTTTAATAAAGGCTGAGACCAGGTTATGACATTTACAATTGGGTGATTACAAAACAGCAAGTCCAAGAAGTTTCCATACCCATTGTGTTGTTAGTGATAAAGATTCTAAATTGTCTTTATACTTTATACTTTCAAACATTAAAGGCCCTTGGAAGTGATTTGTAAAACTGAAACACCTTGAGTACCTATATCAATTATTTTTTAAATAAATCAAATATTTGTGACTATGTATTTCCTCATTGACTTTGAGTGTTTTTCCAAAACTGTTAACTTATTACAAAAAATATTTACAGATTCGAGAAGTTTCCTGTAAATCCTGCGAATATAAGCTGGGCTGGATGTACGAATTTTCAACTCAAGAGGATCAAAAATACAAAGAGGGACTGGTTATTCTAGAAAGGGCACTTGTAACTGAGAGTGAGGGTATGGAGGAACAATCCTTTTTTCACGGAAGAGAAAAAAAATAAATAGATTTTAAGGGGCGGTTGTTAATGCAGCTTGAATAGTTATCAGTCTTTTATGTATGAAATTGTGTATTGAAAATTTGAGGGAGGTATCAGAATGATTGATGAGGGATTTTGTGGGGTGCATTGTGCATTAGGGGTATGAGCAGGTAGGTTAGGTAGATACTTTCTATTATGATTTTTTAAGATGTTGCTTCTTTTTACCTATAGGAGGTACCTACATACATACATTTTGAAAAAATAATATATTTTTAAGAATAGGATAAGTACCTAAGGTTCATTTCACGAAGGATTGTACTTGTGACATCCATGATGTCATAACGTGGAAAAAAAGGTTTGTCCTAGATTAATTCATATATTTTTATTTATTACACATGCATCATAATCAACTATTATCGCACGCTGATAAAATGATGTTTATGATGCACCTACCCTTTCAAAGGTTTGCTATAGAAACGTTTGATCTACCTTTATTTCCTAGATATTTACCTGCCGTTCAAATTACTATTTATCAAAATGAATGAACACATTTAAGACATTTTTGAGATTATGATGCATTCGTAATAAAAAATAGCGTATGATATGCGTGCATTTGCATGCATGCATTTGCATGCATGCATTTAAAGCCCTTGCGATTTACAAAACATTCCGCTGCCCGTCGTGTTTTGAAATATGTCGCGCGTGCTTTAATGGCACTCTTATACACTTATATCATAATATACTATTATTTATGCGTTTTTTGAAACAATCAATTTTTTTGACAAATTTATTGAATGGCGCCTGGTTCTAAAAATCGACGAACGAATGTTTTTGACGTCATTAATTTGTTCCAGTCAAATTTTATTTGTTGAAAAATGAAGGTAAAAGTACAAACCCTCGTGAAACAAACAGTACCTATGTAATCTCAAGTACCATACCTAGATAAATTTTTAGTTTCTTTTATAATAAAGAATATAATTTAGCTTTGATATTTTACAAATAAATTTTATTCTGCCTTATATTTACATCATTACCTGTTGGATAATGGATTATAAACCTTATAATTTGCTCTAACCTTTTAAAACTAAACAAGATATGTATTATGTATTTTGTTAACAATGTTTTTCTATGTTGCATTTTTATTTTATTTTTAGATTTCTACTATTTTTGTAATTCTAACTCTCTTATCAAAAAAAGGACTGGTCTAGTTTTATGTATAATATAAAATATAATCATATGTAAGGAGTAGTCTAGTAAGTATATAATAATTTTGTATGTTTTTGATTGTACAACTTAAAAAAAAAGAAACACGTTTTTACTCTGCAATAAAATACGTAATCATGTTGTTTAAACTGAGCTTTTGTTTTCCTAAATACTATTTTACCATTGTAAGACGTCACGAATGTTATTTTCTGTGCAGGGAGTCACATCATTAGCCCTCAATAAACCTTTTTCTAAGGCATATTTCAAAGATTTTTTTTATACAGGGTGTCCCAGCTGAGAGTGCCCATTTCAACTTTTAAACCAGGTGTGCTAGCTACCTGCGGTTTGTGCCATTTGATTTCTTTTGCCTAAAGTTTTTTTTAGTAGGTTGCATTTTTTTTGAAACTTATACAGGGTGAGTAAAAAAAAGTCCGTTTTTCAACATCGAAATTCTCCACTATTTTTAATGGAACTCCCTGCATATCACTATCAACTAAGTTAAAATACATTTTCCAAGAAAATTTAACGAGTTCCAAAGTATTTTCTCTGGAACTCCTTTGGTAGTTGCAGAAGACCCCTATCATCCTGCACTTGAATTTGGAGTTCCAACGAAGGATAAGTTAGTAAATTGTATATCCAAACAGTATGTATATGATTTCCCAAAAGGGGATTTTCTACTTCTATAGAATCTTGTGAAAACCTGTGATTGGACTGAAGTACTTTCAATTACAGATGTAAATACGAGTCTCAATTTATTTTATAAAAAGTTGTATGGTCTTTTAAATAGAGCTATTCCAAAGAGACAAATCAAACATTCTTCCAGTAAAACCCGTTATCCACGGTGGTATTCCATAGATCTGATTCACAAAGTCAAGGAAAAGAATAAGCTTCATAAGCGTATATTGAGTAAGTGTGCTGATCCATCAGTGCAATTGCACTTTAATGAATTAAGACAATGCATCAAGCTGCAGACCCAAGCAGAATACAACCTGTATAAGAATAATGTGGAACTTAACCTAAATTCAGATCCCAGTTCATATTGGCAGTTTTTGCATGAGAAGAGCAAGAATCGAGGGATACCGGGGGAAATGAAATTTAATGAGAAATTGTACTCGGGTTCTGAGGATATAGCGATGGCTTTTGCTCAGCATTTTGAGTCAGTATATGAAAAACCCAATGATGTAAGTAAATACATGGGGAATGTTAACGAATGTGATTTTAAATTTTCAAATGTGTCAGAGTTAAAAGTTGTAAATAGTATTAAAAGGTTGAAGCCTAAAAAATCGACAGGGCCTGATCAGATCCCTGCCTATATTTATAAAGGATTGGCTGAGTTCATAGCTCAAACATATTTTCAATCTTTCTATTGGAAGTGGACAATTTCCTGATGCCTTGAAGAATGCTCAGATTACTCCTATTTTCAAGAAAGGACGAAAGGACGAAATTAGGAACTATAGACCGATTTGCCTCATTAATATTTTAGCAAAAATTTTTAAAACAATACTTTATGATGATCTTTCAGACTTTCTAAAACCTAAAATTTCTAAATACCAGCATGGATTCTTAAATGATAAGTCAACAATAACAAACCTCTCTATATTCTCGGAAATGGCGGTTGAGGCGATCGCGAATAAGAGCCAGTTGGATGTCATTTACACAGATTGTGAGAAGACTTTTGACAGAGTGGACCATGAGTTGCTGCTTTGCAAGCTTGCTGAGTTTGGGGTGTCAGAGGATGCTTACCATCTTGTGAGGTCATACCTCATAGGCAGGGTACAGACAGTAAGGGTCGGCGCTTGCAACTCTGAGGCGTTTGTTGCAACCTCAGGTGTCCCGCAGGGTAGTAAACTGGGCCCTCTTTTCTTTTTGTGTTTCATCATTTCATTGCCCGACTGCCTGAGGGACTCTATGGGACTTCTTTTTGCTGATGACTTAAAGCTCTGTAGGGTTGTTGAGCGGCGAGAAGACTGCAGAAGGCTTCAGGGTGACATGGATAGGGTGATGGACTGGTTCAACAACAACAGAATTTCCCTAAATGTTAATAAGTGTTCTGTTGTCAGCTTTACGAGACGAACAAACCCAATAGAAGAAACATATACAAGATTGGTGAGGTGAAGGATTTGGGTGTCTTTTTCCAGGCCAACATGAAGTTCAATAAGCATTTTCATCATGTTGTCAATAAAGCAGTAAAAGCACTTGGCTTTGTAATCAGGAATAGGGAATAGTGAGAACTTTAAAATAAGTACAATTATTAACTTGTATAATGCTCTGGTGAGACCGCACCTTGAATATGCATCACAAATTTGGATGCCATTGGAAGCCACGCATATTGATGAAATTGAAAAAGTGCAGAAGAGATTTTTGCGGTATCTATGTGGTTAAAAATAATATTTACCCATATATGGTTCCTTACAGGGATATGCTTGTTAGTTTTAAGATAAAGTCATTAGTGGAAAGAAGGAATAATCAGGCTGTGATATTTTTGTTTTATATTCTAAACAACCTAAAGTATAAGGATTGTAATTTAATTAACTATGTCTCCTTAATTGTACCAAAGATTAACTTAAGAATTATGAAAAACAAGAAATACCTACTTTGGTACTGATCCTAGTAATAATATGTCACCATTTAATCGCATGATGACAGTTGCGAACCAAGCACTTAGTGAGGTCCAGGTAGATCTTTTTAATGTAACTTTAAATCAATTGAAGGCCCTTTTAAATTAGTCATATATGTTTATATTGTGTACTCTGTCTTTATTTTTGTGTTTTACACTTCGCTGTTTTAACTTTACATGTAATTACTATTTTTGGTGTTTGTAAAGTAATGAAATAAATAAATAAATAAATAAATAAAATAAATAAATAGAGATACCCCAACAGTAACAGTTTGGTGTGAAATCTCTATTGAGAAAAAATACAGACCATTTTCATTAATGAACCAACAATAACAAAAACTGTATGCACTGATATATATGTTCTTTTTCCCACAGTTAAGACAGGAGGGTATCTGGGATGATATCTATTTTCAGCAGGGGCCGGATTCTCGTCTAAGGGAGTAGAGCTCCTCAATAGAACGAATGTTTTGGCCTTGTCAACATTATCGAAAATTGAACGAGAATGATAAAGACGAAAAATTTGTTCTCTCGGTGAGCTCCACTCCCTGCTCGAGAATCGGCCCCCACCCTTAGCCCCCACCTCATTATTCTAGTTATGACATTTTGAGAAAGACGGATAAGGAAAGCTGGTCCTATAGAATGGACACCTTAGGCCCAGTTTCACAAAGTGTAGTAAACTACTAGTTATGAGATAACTACTAGTTAAAAGCGAAAACAGCGTTTCACAATTGACGGTTCAACGTGACACCTTTAGTTAACCAGTAGTTGCATTAACCCAAGGATGCGTGTGAGTTAACTATGAGCTAGCTGAAATGCTTCGTTTTTTAGGGCAGTTCAAAAGAGTCAAGTTTGAAAAGGTGAAATTATTGAATGAAAACTTTTGCATTTCTTTTTCCGTTAGTAATACAATTGGAACTAAAATCTGCTCCCACCCTTCTCCAAGCATTTTCTTTTTTTTTTACACGTCGATGCGCCGCTTTTTTGACATTCTATAATGAACTTATATTTTTGCATGAGGGACACTAATAAATATTCTTCTTCCTTTGAAAAATTCGCAGACCTTTTCTCACTTGACTTCATGAATTAATTTTAAACAGGAAACACGACACAAAACCCAATATTGAATAGGTATCTGTGAATTTTTACTGCCACTGACAAAAATTAATGTAATTATTAATGACAAATTACAAAAAGTGACGTTATTAGGCCGTCGGCGGAGAAGCGTTTGCGTTCAAAAACCCGGTATTGAAGTATAATTTATTGAGACTAGTACCACATGTTTCAACATATTTTTCTTGATAGAAAATCGAAATGGACGACTTTTTTCATTGGTCGAGAGCTAAGTTAGGAGCAAAAAACTAAAAATATACGGAAACTAAAATTTCCAACTTTAACCTCGTATAACTTCTAAACCGCTTGAGATAATAAAATGATTTTTGCTCTAGATTCTAGACAAATATATTCTCTTTATTATGGTGTATATATTGTTAGAAAAATATCAAAGTAGAGCTCAAAAAATCAATTATTCCGTGGGCACGGCGCGAATGAGTAAAATATATGTTTGCTTTAACCTGCGATAACTCTTTTATATATTGGAGTATTTACATAATTTTTTGCTCAAAAACTGGCAAATTTAATTGGCTTTTTTTTGTCTCAATTATATACCGACCTATTTTCAATAATAAACTAACTAGAGCCATTTTAACACAACAAAGCGCGGTCTGGCGGCAGAAGTTGTGTGGCTCCCCTCTCATTGCCGCTGCCTACTGACAACCACAAGCATGAATTAAAAAACCATGCTTGATGCAGTAGACTGCATGCAATGATGACAGTCAATTTTGCTTGTTTGTGGAACTTTGTGTTCTATTTTAAAAAGTCTAGTTTATCGGGTTCTGCTTGCATCAGGAGTTATTGCACAGGTAAGAATGGTAAGATAATATTATCAGTAACTAGTAACAGAAAAAGTTAACTGGAAATTATCGATAATTTTTGGTAAGTACGAATGCAATTAAGTTAAAAAAGAGAACGGGTGCACGTCAAAACTTCAAAAATTAATTAAATAGATAGGTAAATAGGTAGTTGTTCTGTGAGCCGATAATAAGTTATCGGTATCTATTATCCCGTAATTTCAATAAGTGTGATCGGTCTAAGTGAGCATCTACCACTTGTCCAATTATTTATTATATTTGACAGTTCTCTCTTTTACGCTTCACGTAAATTTTTTCATTTTGTAGATGGACTAACATTGACGTCATGGATAATTATGTTTTATGTTGCAAAACATTTTTGGCGGAATCACCATGTGGTCCCTGGTTAGAAAGCCAACAAAACAGAGCTACGCGACAATTTTTTCTGCAGCAGGGTACTACTCCCTGTACCTGTACCAATAGATATTGAGTTTCTTTTTTTATTGGTGCCGCTTTTACCACAAATTAAGTAGTCAGCTTTTATATTAAACTTCTCCTTATATACTCTACTACGATCGCTGCTTCATGGAAATACTTCCATTATGCTTGGGTTATTTAATTTCACTACTTTGTCAATATTATTTTTGCTGCAAAAGCATCTTCTGCGACTTATATGATGTTTGAATATTTAGGGAATTTTTTCCAATTTTTATTGAGAAACGGTTAGATGTATTTCAGAAATCGTCAAAAGTAATTGAGAATAGTCAAATGTAATTGAGAATGCGTTAATTCTATTCGAGGATGGGCAAATGTAATTGAAAAAACATTAAATGTAATTCAGAAAGCATCAAATACCATTCAGAATAGATAGAATAAAGTTGAGATAATGAAGATTCGAAAATTTTATATACGAGGTGCCACAAATTCGTGAAAATTTATGGGATATCGGATATGGATTGCTTAATTATTTTCCACAGTTTCGAATTTTGGATGATCTTATCTTTTGACCTATTCTGAATTTCATTTGATGTTGTCTGAAATACAATTAACGCATTCACAATTTTATTTAACATTTCTCAATTACATATACTATTGACAATCATAATTAACGCATTCTGAATAACATTTGACTATTTTAGAAATACATCTAACCGTTTCTCAATTAAAATTGGAAAAAACTCCCTAAATATTCAGATATCATATAAGTTGCAGAAGATCTTTTTGTAGCAAAAATAATATTGATAAGTAGCGAAATTAAATAATCCAAACCAAACATAATCAAAGTATTTCCATGGAGTAGTAGGTAGCGTAGCGGTCGTAGTGGTAAGGAGAAGTTTAATATAGAAGCTGACTGCTTGATTTGTGGTAAAAGCGGCACCAATAAAAAGAAAAACTTAATATCTATTAGTACAGGAGTACAGGTAGGTACAGGGGGTAATACCCTGCTGCCGGAAAAATTGTTGCGTAGCTCCGTTTTGTTGGTTTTCTAACACAAGGACCCCAAGGTGATTCCGCCAAAAATGTTTTGCAACATAAAACACAATTATCCATGACGTCAATGTTAGTCCGTCAACAAAATGAAAAAATTTAGGTACGTGAAGCGTAAAAGAGAAATCTGTAAAATATAACAATTAATTGGACAAGTGGTAGATGCTCACTTAGACCAATCACACTTATTATCGGCTCACAGAACAACCACCTACCTATTTAATTTATTTTCAAAGTTTTGACGTGTACTCGTTCTCTTTTTAAACTTAATTTAATTCGTACTTACAAGTTTCCTAAAAATTATGGATATTTTCCAGTTAACTTTTTGTGTTACTAGTTACTGATAATATCATCTTACCTGTGCAATAACTCCTGATGCAAGCAGAACCCGATAAACTAGACTTTTTAAAATAGAACACAAAGTTCCATAAACAAGCAAAATTGACTGTCATATCATTGCATGCAGTCTACGGCATTACACGTAGTTTTTTAATTCATGCCTGTGGTTGTCAGCGAGTAGCGGGAATGAGAGGGGAGCCACACAACTTCTGCCGCCAGACCACGCTTTGTTGTGTTAAAACGGCTCTAGTTAGTTTATAATTGGAAATAGGTTGGTATATAATTGAGACGAAAGAAAGCCAATTAAATTTGCCAGTTTTTGAGCGAAAAATTAGGTTAATACTCCAATATATAAAGTTATTGCAGGTTAAAGCAAACATATATTTTACTCATTCGCGCCGTGCCTACGAACGAAATAACTGATTTTTTGAGCTCTACTTTAATATTTTTCGAACAATATATACACCATATTAAAGAGAATATATTTGTCTAGAATCTAGAGCAAAAATCATTTTATTATCTCAAGCGGTTTAGAAGTTATACGAGGTTAAAGTTGGAAATTTTAGTTTCCGTATATTTTTAGTTTTTTGCTCCTAACTTAGCTCTCGACCAATGCAAAAAGTCGTCCATTTTCATTTTATATGCAGAAAAATATGCTGAATCATCTAGTACTAGTTTTGATAAATTATACCTCAATACCGGGTTGCTCCTAAAAACGAAGGCTTTTGCGCGCTTGGCCGCCGTCCTATAAAGTGAAGTTTGAAGGGGCCTTTTTTTACTTTTCAAGGTGGTTTTTAAAATTTTGTCAAAAAACCAAGTACCAACCTTTGAGAAATAAAATTCAACCACTAGTCATTTAACAAACGATTGTTTGTGTAGTGTGAAACAGGTTAATGGGCGAAGTCCCAGTTAACCTCTGACCCCTAGTTGACTGACCAGCACTGGTTACCATCGATTGTGAAACTGGGCCTTACTCTCCTGACTTGAGAGTTTTAGACTTTTTTCTCTGGGGGTATGTCAAGGAAAGATGCGGTTATACTTTGCTCAAATAGCCTGGAAGATTCTAAGCGGAACATTTGTAATTCATTGAAGGGATTCTCCAGGCAATGCTACATAGTTCATTCAACCATTTACTGATCCATAAACGCCTAGAACAGAATGGCTAACATATACAACATATATACTTATACATATACAGCATTTTGTAGTTTTATGCAGTTTTTATTAACTTTTTATTAGGCAAACAAGCTTTGAAAATATGCTTTTGCAAAAATACCAAGATTTCGATCTTGATTTTTTACGGCAAAAACTTCAAGTTTTAGGGACGATGTCTATTCGTACATGGATACCTTGAACATTAATCTTTTTTTTGACGTTGTGATATACAGGGTGTTCCATTAAAAATTGTGGAGAATTTCGATGTTGAACAACGGATTTTTTTTTACACGCCCTGTATAAGCTTCACACAAAAATGCAACCTTCTAGAAAAAACTTCAGGCCAAGAGAAATTGAATAGCGCAAACCGCAGGTAGCTAGCACACCTGGTTTAAAAGTTATAAGCATTTAAAATGGGTCACTCTCGGCTAGGACACCCTGTATTTTATGGTGGCGAATGGTTCAAATTAATCTTATAGCAAAGTTTGTTTATAGCAAGAAAACATATTTTTAAACTGTCTTTTTTCTGGAATTTTTTTGCACTTCAATGAAAGATCAGAGAGAGGTGCAATTTTATTAAAACCCAAATTGCACATTTTTTTTTTATTAGAATAATTCAAAAATTTATTTGTTTTTTCACATTGTAGAGGAGCTAGACTTAAATTCATTATTACCGTTGCTATTATTGGCAGCACACATTAGAAAAAAAAAGTAAATTTTCAGTTAATTCAATAAATAGTCAATGAATTTAAGAAATATGTAATTAATCAATGCAATAATTAATCCATTAATTTTTCGCTGGGTTTGAATAAAAATATGGATTTATGATACGCGGTTTTCCAGAATCCGAACGTTCATGAGAATCAAGGTGACTCATCGTCTCTTCAGAGCTAGAGAACTCTTTGAAAGGCTCTTCAGGAGTAGCTTCTTTTGAATTAACTCCGGAAGGAAATTCATGTCCTGGATGCGGAGGAGCAATACTAATATCAGCACACGAACGGAAAATTTCCTGATTTCCACAGCCCATATTTTGTGTACCATCTTCACAAATACCCCAGGAATTACCTTTACAGAAACCATATAATTTAAAAAATATGCATTGCAAAGATCATATATATTCACCTGTTCTGTAATGCCATCTCAAAACGCATCTTTCACACACCAAATCTTTGGGAAGTCTAAGTTGAATATCTACACGATAATCTAAAGCATGCACCGGATAACTGTTAGTTCCGTCGGCTAATTTCATTGGGTGAAAGCATTCTTCAGTTTCTGCTTGGGAACCATCTTTAAGATCACAAATACTATAAAAAAATGTTTAGTCCTGTCTCAATAATTATAGGTAAAATTATCTTACTGGAAATACAAAGCTCCAAGATGATTAGCCGTAATTAAAACCGTAACATCGATAACCGATCCTGCTGTATAATTAGCAACAATAATGCCGTTTCCATAAATGCCTCCGTTTTCGTTGCTTCTAGGTACTGGATCTCTCCAATCGTCTCCACACGGTCCACATTTACCATGGTTTTTGTAATATTGAGCCTAAAAATGTAATAGATTTCTAGATATTGGATTCGAATAAGAACATTGTTACTCACATATGCTCCACCACAAAAGTATTCATTATCTTCATAATTAATAGGTTGTTGCCAGTCTATTCTCCACAAAGAAGCTCTGTTAGCTGGAACAATCATATATCCATGTCCAGTTACTTCTACAGAAAAGTAAACTGCGAAAAAAAAAAGAACTACTAAAGAGACTTTCATTTTTATGCCCTAAACTTTTCAGTCAGGTACCTATTCGTTATAGCTTCGTAACTTTTGGTACTTATGGCCATGTTTCGAAAATTCCCTTATTTATGAGTATAAGTTATGCGTTATCTTCAGCAAGAAAAAAATGTTTATCTTTTTGGTTTTTGCATTTGATTTTGGATTATCCGCGCCGCGTCATAGGGTACCTAAGTGTTTATAGTTTTAATCTTTTTCGCAAAGGGATTAAGATTTTTAAAAGACTTCTAATGAAACATGACAGAAACTATGTTACGATATTCAAGCTAAGGATTAGGTTACCTAGGAAAATATTATAAATCGCTATCCTATTTCTTCTAAGTAGGTACCTATAGTTTTTCTAAAGTCAATTGGAACAAGGTGAACATAAATCATAACTGGTGGCTGACTAGTGGCAGTACATTTCTTATGGACATTTTCAGTGACCAGTCAGCCACCAGTTGGTACTTTGTTCCAAATGAGTATGGAAATACTATAGGTAGTCAGCTTTTTTTTTTCAAGGAAAGAGAGATAAGCAAGACATGAAAGTAATAAGGCAGTTCAAACGAAGGCAAGTAAATATGACACAAGAGCTATAGATAGGGATAAAAAAAGCATTGGTTTAGAAGGTAGGTATATAGATAAATAAAACTCAGTAACAAAGATACTAGAAAAAAATGATGACCACAAACTGAGAATAGAAAGAAGTTTGCAAAAAATCAGAAAATCGGAACAAGAGTGTTGAGGTCATTTATAGATTACCTAAATGGAAGCATTCGACAAGACATACCTAATAAAAGAAATGAGAACCTACATACTTATAAAGGAAAAGCTTTGTTATAAAGAAATAATAAAGACTTGGATAGTGAGCCATTTACAAAGAATGGTAGGTACCTCTTAATATGTAGGTATTAGACCTACCTTATTGTTGCCACCGAACAAATTTAAACTTTTTATTTATACCTACCTATCGTTTTTATTTAAGTTATCTAGGTACATTTGCTAAAAGTGCTAAGAGGTAAAGGCCATTAGGATCAGAAGATTTCACTAAAGCGATGCGACTGCCCGATTATGGATTCAGCAAACGAGAAATAGATCAACAGCTCGCTCATTCTACATCCGCTATACATAGAGCCAGTAAGATTAGTTCATTTTGTGCAATATCGATTCTCAATGTTCTTGGATGCATGGTCAATCTTTTTTAGGAAACCATATACCAGAGAAAAGAACTTGAGCGAATGCGCAGTAGAAATGTGAAAGAATGAAACGAAAAACAAGCAATGTGCAGGAATTCATTTAGAATGGAATTTAAAGCAGTCGGGTAAAGTAGCTAGTATTTCACATGAATCCAGGTTGGCAGATTTGCACCTAGATTCAAGTTTGCGTGGGGAGTCGTTTGGCTACTTACAGCCTCGGCTCTGGGCACTGCTACCTTTCCAGATATTTTGTGCATGACTATACATTTTAGTTTGTGTCCAAGAAATTAGGGCGAAGAGCTATTTTCTTGGGGGACAGTTGGCCCGCTTCTTGGTGTGTTGGCATTTGCACCTCTAAGTGAATAAGATATTATCTTATATCTTATCACTTCACTCTGTATACAATAGGTATACATATATAAAAAAATTTATGTCATACCTATACATTATTGTACTTTTATACCTTAGATACCATCTACATAATTCATTACTTTATGCCCGTGCGGGCATAAAGTACACATTATGGCCCACGCGGGCATAAAGTTGCAAAAAACAGTTTTCAATTAACTTATTCTTTATTAACAAAATATAAATTTACGCTTATAAACATATAATTTTTGTCAAAAAATGATGATGTTTGCACACTGATGACAATTTGCGAAGCGACACTTTTTTCCCAAGGATTTATTATTCACAACCAACTGGTATGTATGACATAAAAGTTTGTATGCACCACGGGTACTAATGGATATATATACCCTCGGGCGACTTACGAACCCTCGGGCCAGAGGCCCTCGGCTTTGTAAGACTGTTGCCCTCAGGGCATAATCATCTACTTAGTACCCTTGTTACATAAATAACTATTGTTGGATTTATATAGATAAGGTACGCACCTAAGTGAGAGGCAGGTACTCCAGCTTATTTTTTTATAATTCCAATATCCAATGCTTAAGTTGCATATCAATAATGATTTATGTTTTTCAAATAAATCTGATAGGAAAGTACAAACTAATTAGTGTCAATCCGTTATATTTCCAAGTTTTTTTTAAATATTTATAGCTATTTGTATTAATAGGTGGATTAAAGATAGGAAGTGGAAATGCTCATACCTAATAAAAACACTTTATCTAAGTTGTAGATTGGAGTGTATATCTATTATTATTTACTTAAATAAATACATGATCCTAAAATTGTTATTTTTATTTAGTGTTGCAGATAAAATACAAACAACTCGCAATATATTGCCAACAATGTCAACTGGTATGGTCAAGAAATTAAAGTATTACCATTATCAATTGAAAATCGCATCTCTATGGTGACTACTCAAAATTAGAAAAATACCCCTTATAATAATATAAAATAATTTTTATATTTTTATGCCTAGTCCTGGTACACTATAACAAAGACACCGCACGCCGGCAAAAAAACTTGAAAATTGTCGGCAATACCGCTGGGCTTTATCGCTTGCCGACAAAGCTGAGCCGCTCTTGTTGACAGTGTGAGATATTCTCTTTAGAAGTGGACAAAAGTATAAAATTACACAGATACCTAATTGAATAAAAATCAATTTCAAATTTGAATTTTTAATAAAGGAATAATATCCCCATTCAAATATTTATATTTGATTTATTTCAATAGTTTAAAACGGAATTTCAGTTGTTATAGAAATATCTGGAGTATGTTTATTCTTTATTAACCAATTTGTTTTCATTTGTCATGATAATAATATTTAGACGCCTATGGATTCCCACGTGACTTCAAAGAGATCAACTGAGCCGCCTTTTTTATGAAGTGTCAATTAATAATGGTTAAACTTTACGTATAGTCGCCGCCACCGATATTTGAGATTCCTACAAAAAATTATTTCTTTGTCGGCGATGCCTCGATAAAAAAAAAACGCAGCAAAACTCTACATATAAGGGTTAGAATAAATTTAGTCCAAGAGCTATGTTCTGGATTCGATTAAGTACTCTATTTCTTGCATTAAATCTTTGAAAGATCTTTTGAGAAAATTTAAGAATAATTTTAAACATTATTCACAACAATTTAAACCCAATAATTTCAAACCAATATAATCTTGTACTCAAGCGGCTCCTGATACGTGCTCCCTGACTACATGCAAGCTGGCTGATAATATAAAATCTGTTTTTTTTTTAAAGATAATTCCCCAAGTCAAAAATTTAGTAACTATGTTGGCAACACAAGCCTTTTCTACATAAAAAATTTGAAAGCATTGACAATTTTACATTGTATTGCCAACATAATGTCATTTTGACTTTTATCTTTAAAAAAAAAACAGGCTTTAATAGTTATTTACATTACAAGTGCGTTTATGAACATGATTACAATAACGAGTGTGAAAGATTAGAACGACGAGGTCGTAGACCGAGTCGTTCTAATTACACGAGTTTTTGTAGTCATGTTTGAACGCACGTGTGATGTACAACGTTTTATCTACAAAGCGAAAAATAGGAATGCTTTTTCAATTATTTTCGTTTATTAGTAGTTGTCTACCTTCATTTTACCTTTACAGGTTTACCTTTGACATTTGTCAAATCACCAAAAATAGTTGTGTTATAGATTCATAACCTCGTCCATAATACCACTAGTTGTGTTATGAACTCATAATCTAGTCTATAACACCACTAGTTGTGTTATGAGTCTCATGACACAACTCAAATACTAGAAAAATGGTTATGTAAAAACGTCATAACCAAACGCTTGTAGATAAACATAATTTTTTGTACGAATCTCGAATATATTTGGCGGATACTATACCTATGTACTATTATTCATAATGCAAATGCATCCTCTTGGATTACCCGCCAACAACTCCTTGAACTATATACATTGAAAATCGCAATATTTTCGGACGAAAGAATCTAGAATAAAAAAATAACACACTGAAAATAATCTACAATCGTTTTCTTCAAGAAGTCCTATGAGTTTTATCGCTACACCTCAGAGTTAAGAGATCATTTATTTCTGACAAAAAAATATTATTTTAGGTGTTATCTTCAAAATTATTGTAGTCGATCGGGAGGTAGTAAGTCGGTTAGTAGGTACAATTTCAACAAAATAAAATGGAAATCGGACTCGGTAACATATTTATCATCATCATTAATTAGCCTGTGTTCGTCCACTGCTGGACATCGGACCATCTTGTTGAGCGGTCGTCCTCTGTTTCTGTATGCATCTCGCCTAGGCTTCCACTCAGAAATCCTTCTGGTCCATCTATCATCCTATATTCTTGCAATGTGATCCCGGCTCTTCTTTGTGTTTCTATGTTGGTGATACGAGTCGCAGCAAAGTCTACATTGCACGGTGTGCCACTCCTATTTTCTGTATGACCTTTTTCGTTCAAAGTCTCAGCAGCATGAGTGAGAACAGGCATTGATCGAAACCCTTACCTTTTAAACAAATCGGGATGTCTGCTTTGAATATTTGTCTCAGGTTTTCAAAAGCAGCCCATGTCAAACCTATTCCTCTAAGGTATTTCATGTTGGTTTTCTCTATTAATGCGGATTTCATGATCGAGGTATTTGTAAGAGGTAGTTTCTTTGACCTGGACACCATCTATATTAGGGTTGCCACCTTCTTTAAAAGTGAAAAAAGGACATTTCAAAAAAAAATCTTAATGCAAGTAAAATGGTCGCGCAGGGGAGCTAAAAAAAAGAAAAAAAAAAACTTTCATATTTTGAGAACGTTTATTGTTTCCAATGGCCAAGTATGTTTATGTCATCTTTTTCGTCGATTTTCTCCGAAATTTTGACAGACTAGACAGACACGTGACTGGATCAGACAGTTCCAATTTACAAATCACGTGCCTCGTGCCTGTCAAAACCTTAGATTAAGGTTTTCT